CCTCCTGGGTTCAGGCAATTCTCCTGCCTCAGCCTCCTGAGTAGCTGGGATTACAGGCACGTGCCACCATGCCCAGCTAATTTTTTGTAGTTTTAGTATAGAGGGGGTTTCACCATGTTGACCAGGATAGTCTCGATCTCTTGACCTCGTGATCGACCCACCTCGGCCTCCCAAAGTGCTGGGATTACAGGCGTGAGCCACCGCGCCCGGCCTAGAAAGATGTTTTTAAAAATCAAAATGTATATACATATCAACAAAAAGAATGGAAAGACACACATGAAAATACTAACAGTGGATTATTGCTTTGCAGCTGAATAAAGGTGATTCTCTCCTTTTGACTATGCAATATTTCTATTTTTAGAAATAATGAACACATTTTCTTTGTAAAGAGATGTCATTGTCTAGAAAGGTAATACACATATTTATTTATGTATGTAAATATGTTTTGCTATTGGACTAACTTGAATGACGCCTGGCCTTATTTCATACTGGTTCAGCCTTCTGCGAGTAAAGGAGCTTCATCACATTACTGGAGAAACATCTTTTACTTATAAAAGAACTGGCAGTGGTCTTATCTCTCCATCAATCTTGTGCTTTGCCATGGGCCATAGTGAGAAAAGTGCTGGCCTCTACTGCCCCATTAGGTTTCCCATTAGCATCCATTAACCAACAATTTTTATTTCTTGGTGTGCAGCCAGCGTTCCTTAGAAAATGAAAAAAACACAGACATGATGATGTCACCATCTACTAAATATCGGCTTCCCGTCCTCATCAAGTCTGGCTTGTCTAGCAGGACTTTCATCAAGTATTAAGTATAAGGAAGATGCCAGGAGCTCCAATGGCACTTGGCTTATTTGATTTTGCTTTACAAAAATAAACACAGTTATTCTGGGTGAAATTTTTAAATTGTTTTATCCAAAAATCTAGAAAGAAGAATGTAAACCAAGTGCATTTGGCCTCCTTAGCCGGTTTTTGCAGCATCCATGACAGAATTCTGAGATTCTGAGAAGCAGGATGGACATGAGAAGCAGACCCCTGCGGGAAGATGGCAGTCAACACTCCTAGCCACGCTGGGGGGATCCCAGCCTCCTGCATCCATCCCTGCCATGACTACCAGCAGCAAGTGATGCCCCATGCATCCCACGGGGCGATGCTGTTTCTCAAACGTCCACAGTTGTCATCAGACACTATACTGCAATTTGGCAGTTTGGTAGAGCAATTGTCTGCCTTTGAGAATGACACCACACAGCATAAGGATATCACTAAAGGCCATTAACAGGCATTTGAAGCTTCTTAAAGGTTTGGCCTTGACTCCCATTATTAGTTCTGGAACCTAAAATAAAATCCAATAACTTTATTTATTTATTTACTTATTTACTTTATTTATTTATTTATTTGAGATGGAATTTTGCTCGTCACCCAGGCTGGAGTGCAATGGCACAGTCTCTGCTCACTGCAACCTCCACCTCCTGGGTTCAAGCAATTCTCCTGCCTTAGCACCCCGAGTAGCTGGGATTACAGGCACATGCCACCATGCCCAGTTAATTTTTGTATTTTTAGTAGAGATGGGGTTTTACCATGTTGACAAGGCTGGTCTCAAACTCCTGACCTCAGGTGATCCACCCTCCTACGCCTCCCAAAGAACTGGGATTACAGAGGTGAGCCACCACGCCTGTCCCACTATCAAATAACTATATATGCTTCAACAGCTCCCCAAACATATATGTCAGTGCATAGAAAATACTCTGGAAGGATACACACCAGCTTGGTGACAGCAGGTATTAAGATTGGAAGTAAGAAGACTTTAAATTTGTCTATAACTCTTGAAGTTTTTTTATATTATTTGTATAACTTAAAATTAATTTAAAACAACCTAAGTCTTAGAATCATCTTTTTTTTTTTTTTTTTT